GATAATATTTTTAATCCATTTTTAATTACTTAAACTTTTAAAAATAGAACAGAATCACGTAGAAAAAAGAATTGCACACCAAGTGAACGCCAAACAAAATGTGTATAATAGTGTGGAATATTATTAGTACTTTATAAATTCACATGCGTTTTTTGAGAAATCGGAAATAGTGTAAATTACTCTTTCCGGTCAACGGAAATTACTCAAAATATCTCCCCTAAACTTTCTCGAATATTCTTATATAAAATAACAGGGGATGGGAACTCGGGCTATAGACATGATTTTTAATCCATTTTAAATACTTAAAGTTTTAAAAATAAAATAAAATCTCGTAGACAAATTAATTGCACACCAAGTGAACGCTAAATAAAAAAGTGCATAATAGTGCGCAATATTATTATTACTTTTAAAATTTACATTAGTTTTTTGAGAAATCGGAAGTAGCGTAAAGTACTATTTCCAGTCAACGGAAATGACTCAAAATTTAATAGAAGGTAGAGAATTAGATCTTTTACTTACGTATGAAATTTCATTTATCTTTCTGAAATAGTACTCAAGTTATAGGCTTTTGAAAAATTCAAAGTAGAAAAAGTACCACTTCCGGTTGTCGGAAATCGCTCAAAAGTTGATACGGATCTACGATTTTGATAAAATACTTATATATGAAATTTCATCAACCTAGCTGTAACGGTACTCAAGTTATCGTGTTTACACACGGACAGACACACAGACACACAGACACACACACACACACACAGACATACGGACAAGATTGCAAAATTATGTTTTTCCGTATCAGTGAGGTGTAAAACGTCGAGATTTGTAAAAATCTCGATTTTTTTTTGCACGATTACAATACTTTCTCTATACTACGTATATACGAGAAAGTAAAAAAAATGTGTGAATGCATGGATTGATAAAGTGCAATATGGTAGGTAAAAGACGGATATTTTAAATACTGCCTTTTATTTATTTTATACACTGAACGTACTGTTTACTAATTATTATTTTTATCTTTCGGTTTGCGGACAAGCTGGGGTTTTTATACTCGTTCGCTAAATTGAATCAGGCACGTCCGCCGGCACTTGGACAGGGTGCAATTTAGCGCCACGAGCTAGACTAGTTGCGTTTATGTTATGAGTGTTGTGTTTGTGTTTTCATTTGTGTTTTTATTTGCGTTTGTTTTTTCTTTTGTGTTTGTGTGTTGAGTTTGTGCTTTCGTTTGTGTTTGCATTTTGTTTGCATTGTGTTTGTGTTTTCTTTTGTGTTTATGTTTGCGTTGTGTTTGAGTTTGTGTTTTTGTTTTAGGTTTGTGTTTAGTTTTGTTCTGTTCCCAATTTGTACATTTAAAAAAGATTTACCGTGGCGGAGCACGGGTATGCAGCTTGTTATATTTTAATGCAGCAATATAATTCTTACATTTATATTAAAAAAAACAATACCCTACTTACATTTATACCACGACAATACCATACTTACATAACAAAATAATTAGGCACTTACACTTACACCAGAACCATACAATACTTACAGTGATACCAAGGACCTCTCCATTGGCTGCAAATATTTCATAGTTGGTCATTTCGCTCCTTAAGATCTCCAGACTATGGTCCTTCACCTCTTGTAGCATGATCACATCCGGGTTATTTCTAAATATAGCAGTAATACAAGCAGTGAGCACTAGCGCAGCAGTGAATGTGACCAAAAATGTCGCGATGGCTACTTAAGAATAATAAGTTTAGTAAACATTTGTTGCGAAGCTAAGGCAGGTGCATGGAAGGGGGGGGGGGCTTACACCTCCAATCATTTCCTACATAAATAAAAATAATTGAGTGTGATTAAATTGAAAGGCGACGCCTTTAAATATACTTCATTGAAGTTGGAGGGGAGGGGGTGGAATAATTTTTTTTTACTGTAATAATATTTGACATGCGCCTTTAGTTCGTAAGGTCAGATCGTCTTCCTTCTCCTCTTTCTCCTCTTTCTCATCGTCTTCTTCCTCATCCTTATCTTTATCATCGCGTTCAACATGCGAAGAGTGGGTCATGCGGAGAGTCTCCAGTCCAGCTATATTCCATGATACAATTTTGATATCCCCTTCTTTCCTGTAAAGGAATTTAAAAATAAATAATAAAACATCGAACGACAGAGTATCATGTTTACCGTATATCACATTGTCTGAAACAATTTACCGTAAACCAGAGTCATAGACAAGTATTTGTCTTTGGATGGGGTATTATAAGAATTATTCTAAACACACGCACGCACATACCACACACATGCACACGCAAATACACTTACGCAAATACACACACACACTCATACATATACTTACATACTTACACGCACACTTTACACATACACAACTCCAACTCGCCAGCGCACTAAAAAAAATAACAGCTCATAAGCCGACATGAATTTTTTTAACATGTTTTCTCAGGGCTAGAAGGGGAATATTGGCTTCTGAGGAAAACATTTTTATCTTACTTACTCCTGTATCTCGGAAGTTTCATTCCGCGCAGCTAAGCCAGAGTTGTCGCTACTGCACAGAAAAAATATTAAAAAAACTGGATAAAAATACGAAATCTCTATAATTAGTCCGTGCGCTATAAAAATATGAAAACAATAAGTGCAAATCTATTTGTAATAATGGAATGCATAATAAAGTTAGGAAAACAGAAGAAGTGCGAATTCTCTATAATTATTTATGCGGAGCAGAGATAGTGGTTTACCGTTTTTATAGATTAGTTAAAAGTTCCCTTTAAGAAAAAAAGGAGCAAGTGAAGTAGAGTTCATCTGTTTCTGCGACCTCGGCAATAAAGAGATAGTGTGGTCCAGCACTATGCTTAGCCGCCTTTACTTTTTGTAACGTGACTTTGGTACCCATCAGAGCTGGGCGGACTCAGCGACGTTCTACTGAATCAACCCCGATTCAAAATCGAGAGTTTTGGGTTAGTCGTTTATTGTTGCACATTTCGGTTCAGCTGGTTTAATTAGCTGTAGCTTACACTTACATGTTCTAGACAAACTAGTGAGCCTTTATTTATGCTACAAAAATACGTTTTTATGTAGGTAATAATACCAACAGTAAAACTTGAATTAAATTGTATTTGTTACAAAGAACGTTATCCCGCTAAGCAATTATGTTCACGCGTTCTTGCTTATCAATTTACTTGAGAAACACAGTCAGACTAATACACACAAAAGACACACCAAATATAGGAAACATAGACACAGATTCATCATATATATATATACACTCACGCACGCACACACGCACACACACACACACACAAGCATACACAAACATACCTACCCTTGTGTCTCTGGTTGATCCAGAACTTCCTGATCACCTATGGAAATCAAGAACGTCCTAGTCTGACTTATTTCCTGTCTATCTCTGGAACTGGCCTGACCACTGTCCTCCTGTTGACCTAAGGAATTAGCCTGACCATCATCCTGTGGACTTCTGGAGCTAGCCTGACCACTTTCCTCTTGACCTCTGGAACTAGTCTGACAACTGTCCTCCTGCTGACCTCTGGAACTAGCCTGACCACCATCATGTAGACCTCTGGAATCAAAGGATAACCTAGCCAATTATGCTTTTTGTTTGTTTTTAAACACATTTTTTCCCTTTACCAATCAAATAAATTTAACTAAATACCTCTAGCGTAGGATTATACATCACACTGTGTATTATGAATGCAATTACACCGCTAAGTAGTCGCTAAATAAAATTATATAAACAACATTTGTTGAATCGTATAAATTTCTCGGGTCTACCTCCAGGGGCCGGCTGATCCGTGTCGTAGAACTCTAAAACTGGCCAACAAACCCCAATGGTCACTGGCAAATCTCTGACAAGATGGCAGCCGGAGGGTGCCGATAAACCTGAAATACGACGTCTCTACGGCCGGAGGGGAGCTGTGCCTGATGTACATCCGGTCAAACCGTTTGCGGGGGCTATTGCGTCCTGGCATCCGGAGACTGTCGTTGAATCTTAGGTCCCAAGTGTATTGTGTATCCGGCCTGCTGCCAGTAGCCTCCCAAAGGTCAAGGACTCCAGGGGGGATGGCAGTGTCACCTCCTATCTGAATGTAACAACGACACAATTCAATGATAACGAATGGTATGTCCGAGCAGAGCCGGTGTTAAGGGGTGGCAAACGGGGCGGTCGCCCCAGGCCCCGCGCGTGAAGGGGCACTACGCTTTAGCACTGTCATCGCTATCTGAATTAGTTTGTAAACGTATATAATTTTTTCTGAATTCAATTAGGAAAAAAACTAAATGGTCGAATGCCGACGTTGTTGATTGCTATAACTCAGACCACGGTTGATGTGAGTGAGTTATCACCCACCTGAACTGGGAAATGCCGCAATTTGATACAAAAACAGTGTCACAACTCACTGTAGACTGGGTACGGTCAACTCGCATTTGACCTGAGATGAGTGGAGATAGTTGGACGCGAATTAGTCCCCGACCTGACATGGGATGTAAATTTGGAAAACACGTAAAGGGATACCGATGAAGACGTCATATTAGTGAGCAGATGGGATGCCTATAGCAGACAGTTAATGATCTGATGAACGCTAGTCCTGACTTTCTCGTTGTAGTTGTCGTATATGCACTTGACTTGGTATAAAAAAAATAACATTCAGTTGCGTGCAGAGGGTGTGGGAGGAGGGCGATGTGGGGGGGGGGGGGGAGGGGGGGGGGGCTATGGGATCTACATCAGTTGGGCATCCAACAGAGTTATTTATTTCTTTTTTTTTGGGAAGAAAGTTAAAAGTGTTGTTATGTTGTGTCATCTTAAGTATTCATCCGTTCCAAGATAGAATGCTTAATTTACCGAATTCATCCAAATTGTTTTATTCAATCGTCTTCCAGTAATGCTGGCATGATATAAGTCAGCGAATTGTCCTCGTCGCACAACTTTTATAGAGGAAGGGGAATCGTTGAAGGCAATGAAGTGTAGTGATTTAGTAGTCATTGATATTCGCCTAATAAACGCGGTCTTTCAATTCGTATCTAATACTTTGGTGAACAAAACGACATTTGTAGAGTGTTTAAGCACATTTTTTAATTGTAGTGATATCCTTTACAATAGTTATGACAGTAATGATTTTGGTTTTTAATATTGTACTAGAATACCCGTCATCCGTTGGATAACTGTGAGTTTCGGGGGTCATCCATCAAAAAACATCACGTCTGTCACTCAGAGGCATAGCGACCCTTCCCGGCGCCCGGGGACAAACTTTTCGATTTTAACCCCCCCCCCAAGATTTCGATTTTCAACCTCCCCCTCAAACTTTTGATGTGCACCCCCCCCCCCACTCAAACTTTCGATTTGAACCCCCCCCCTCAACCTTTCAATTTATTTTTCCAAACAATTTTGGCGCCCCAACATATGTCCCCCCCCGCCCCCCCCTTCCCCTCCCCCCGCCTCCCCTCCCCTTCCCCCCCCCCGCCTCCCCTCCCGACACCCCCCCCTCCTCGCTACGCTACTGCAGTGTCACTTATCGTCACAAAAAACAGACCCCACATTCAAAAATATGTTTCTTATCTTTTAAAAACACCGAAAACACCGATTTCGGACTATCCCTTCATATACTGACGTCACATGTGACCTACTCAACTCTACTTCACCTGCCCAGTGTCCCGCCAAGTCTCAGACAACATGTTTTTATCGTTTAAAAAACGATTCCAGCCGAGCATGTCTCTGACCACACTATCCTTTCATATGCTTAGGACAAAGAAACAGATGAACTCTACTTCACCCGCCCTGTATCCTGCCAAGTTCAGATAGGCAACTTTATCATTCACATCTAGAAAAAAAAATTGAAAAAAAAATATCATTCACATATTGGTCTAGAACCTGTGCCACCCGCATGAGAGCGGACTACGCTACCAACTTAGCTATTTACTCGTGACGTCACAAGAGAATTTTTATACTATATTTTAAGTCTCCTTTTGCAACTTGATCTAGATCTAAGTCTAGTAGTAGTAACTTTCAAATTAAATTTTATCTTAAATTAGCCAAACAAAGATTTATATAAAATAAAGAAGGTCTGAAATTATCTAGATCTAGATAGAATTATGTAGATCTAGATTAGATTCTACGACTCGTTTGCTTAAGTCTTAAGTTTAGTTTTTCTTGCTAGATCTAGATCTAGATCTAATCATTAGGCCCGGAGCGAGCATTTCAAAATTACCATATTCCAAACAAAGATTTATATAAAATAATAAAGGTCTAAAATAGTTTAGTATATAGAAAATCATTATTATCTAAATCTAGAAAGAAAATTATCTATATTTTAGATCTACGACTGAGCTATATTTAGAATTTACGTTTATAATTTAGCAAACTTACCGGCATCTAAGCCGCGTATGAATCTTAAGCTACACCAATAGGCCCGGGAGCGAGCATTTCAAAATTACCATATTCCAAACAAAGATTTATACAAAATAATAAAGGTCTAAAATAGTTTAGTATATAGAAACTCATTATTATCTAAATCTAGATAGAATTATCTATATTCTAGATCTACGACTGGTTTGCTAAAGTCTCTTTTTTTTTTGGATTGTATTTATAACTAATAAATCATTGATTTGACCTAGATTCTAGATCTAGATCTATAAATAAGTTTCCTTCGACAGCTGATCTTTAGATCTAGAAAAATTTATTGTAAAACTAAATGAAAAAGACAGTTGAAAATTGATATAAGTGTTGGAACGTAATAAATACAGCAAACGGACGTATTGTTAAAGTTAAAGCCGACAGAAAATTAGCTTTAGAACGCGTTAAACATTGGAATGGGAACACAATCTTCTTCGATAGGCCGCCATTATCGATGTAAAATAATAAACACATCATGTGACGTCACTGTTTCCGTCGAGTCTAGTGGCTTTTCAAATCTTTTTTAAAAAAATGGGTTACTCTACGTATGAATAAATCAATAAATTAATTAACGTCTTTAAATAAATTTGTGATTAACAGTCTGTCTGCATTAAAAAATTATTCTCTACCTACATACTGTTTTACAGCTCTCCAGATAGAGTCGAACATATCACGATTTTCGATCGGACAAACAAATAAATATTCAAACATGTAAACAAACTTGACTTTTAGTAGTATTAGACTAGAATACCCGTCATCCGTTGGATAACTGTGAGTTTCGGGGGTCATCCATCAAAAAACATCACGTCTGTCACTCAGAGGCATAGCGACCCTTCCCGGCGCCCGGGGACAAACTTTTCGATTTTAACCCCCCCCCCAAGATTTCGATTTTCAACCTCCCCCTCAAACTTTTGATGTGCACCCCCCCACTCAAACTTTCGATTTGAACCCCCCCCCTCAACCTTTCAATTTATTTTTCCAAACAATTTTGGCGCCCCAACATATGTCCCCCCCCCGCCCCCCTTCCCCTCCCCCCGCCTCCCCTCCCCTTCCCCCCCCCCCCCCGCCTCCCCTCCCGACACCCCCCCCTCCTCGCTACGCTACTGCAGTGTCACTTATCGTCACAAAAAACAGACCCCACATTCAAAAATATGTTTCTTATCTTTTAAAAACACCGAAAACACCGATTTCGGACTATCCCTTCATATACTGACGTCACATGTGACCTACTCAACTCTACTTCACCTGCCCAGTGTCCCGCCAAGTCTCAGACAACATGTTTTTATCGTTTAAAAAACGATTCCAGCCGAGCATGTCTCTGACCACACTATCCTTTCATATGCTTAGGACAAAGAAACAGATGAACTCTACTTCACCCGCCCTGTATCCTGCCAAGTTCAGATAGGCAACTTTATCATTCACATCTAGAAAAAAAAATTGAAAAAAAAATATCATTCACATATTGGTCTAGAACCTGTGCCACCCGCATGAGAGCGGACTACGCTACCAACTTAGCTATTTACTCGTGACGTCACAAGAGAATTTTTATACTATATTTTAAGTCTCCTTTTGCAACTTGATCTAGATCTAAGTCTAGTAGTAGTAACTTTCAAATTAAATTTTATCTTAAATTAGCCAAACAAAGATTTATATAAAATAAAGAAGGTCTGAAATTATCTAGATCTAGATAGAATTATGTAGATCTAGATTAGATTCTACGACTCGTTTGCTTAAGTCTTAAGTTTAGTTTTTCTTGCTAGATCTAGATCTAGATCTAATCATTAGGCCCGGAGCGAGCATTTCAAAATTACCATATTCCAAACAAAGATTTATATAAAATAATAAAGGTCTAAAATAGTTTAGTATATAGAAAATCATTATTATCTAAATCTAGAAAGAAAATTATCTATATTTTAGATCTACGACTGAGCTATATTTAGAATTTACGTTTATAATTTAGCAAACTTACCGGCATCTAAGCCGCGTATGAATCTTAAGCTACACCAATAGGCCCGGGAGCGAGCATTTCAAAATTACCATATTCCAAACAAAGATTTATACAAAATAATAAAGGTCTAAAATAGTTTAGTATATAGAAACTCATTATTATCTAAATCTAGATAGAATTATCTATATTCTAGATCTACGACTGGTTTGCTAAAGTCTCTTTTTTTTTTGGATTGTATTTATAACTAATAAATCATTGATTTGACCTAGATTCTAGATCTAGATCTATAAATAAGTTTCCTTCGACAGCTGATCTTTAGATCTAGAAAAATTTATTGTAAAACTAAATGAAAAAGACAGTTGAAAATTGATATAAGTGTTGGAACGTAATAAATACAGCAAACGGGCGTATTGTTAAAGTTGAAGCCGACAGAAAATTAGCTTTAGAACGCGTTAAACATTGGAATGGGAACACAATCTTCTTCGATAGGCCGCCATTATCGATGTAAAATAATAAACACATCATGTGACGTCACTGTTTCCGTCGAGTCTAGTGGCTTTTCAAATCTTTTTTAAAAAAATGGGTTACTCTACGTATGAATAAATCAATAAATTAATTAACGTCTTTAAATAAATTTGTGATTAACAGTCTGTCTGCATTAAAAAATTATTCTCTACCTACATACTGTTTTACAGCTCTCCAGATAGAGTCGAACATATCACGATTTTCGATCGGACAAACAAATAAATATTCAAACATGTAAACAAACTTGACTTTTAGTAGTATTAGATAGATAGATGAATTCTAAACACATTTTGAAGTCTATACTGTTTTCGTACATCATGCCGGGTTCGCTTTATTGTAAACTTGATTTCTCACACGTCTGAAGTACCGACTTTCACGGCAGCCCTAGCATGCCGTCGCTAAACTCATAAATAAGGTGTAGCTGGCTGTCACTTCTTAATTATAGACACGAGCCTTCTCTTGTGAGACCGCAGTCATGACCGGTAATGTAATGCGTGGACGCTCTATAAACACAAACTTTCTCAGTAACGTAGTACTTGAACTTGATGACCCTTTACTTAGGCTTTGGCGTTCAATAGCCATATATTTAAATGCACAGTTATCCTTTACTTCACCAATCCACTAACTGCCACCCACTCCAAAGCTCCACCCTACTGAGCGTCCGTGATTACATCTGAGAATAGTTTCTTTTGGATATACATAAACATAGAGTTTATTTTCACGATTCGTAACCAGTGTTTATTCACGATTCGAGCTAAGTCCAAAAGTTATAAATCTTTTTCTATTTATTTTCAACTTTAATTACTTTAGCTGTGTTGATATAGTAATTTTTCTAAAATTCTGTGCTTACTAACACTCTCTTTTTTAGATACTTCTCAAACGCATGACTTTTATATTAACTAGTAATCATTAACAAACAATTTAAATAACTTTATTGTCCTATTTCTTTGGCATGCGATTGAATTTTCTTTAATGATTTGGTATTAGTTACATAACAGTCAAAAGTGATTTAATATCTTAGCAAAAAAAAATATCATCGATTCCAATTTCTGACATTAGGTCTCTACTTGTTAAATTAATAGTTCACTTTACTTCCCAAAATCTTACATTAAGGTTTCTAGTACCAGTGACTATTAATCCCCTTACTTCTCAATTGAGGTCCCCACTAAATAATACTAATACTTACTTCCCAATCCCTGACATTAAGGTCCCCACCAAATACCACCGTCTCATCAGGCCCCGTGTTGGTCATCTCACGGAAGGCGATTCTAATTTGGTTCCTTCTCTCATCACTGCAGGGGAGCTGACTCTCCATGTGACTCGTCATCACTGTCATGGGGACACCCCGGACTCTACCCTGAATACACATGATAGAGGGTTATTTCTACACTCATGAACACTGCCCTGAGAAATTTGACAGTGATTTCTACACCCCCCCCCCGAGCACTGCCCTCGGAAATGTGACAGTAATTTCTACACCCCCAAGTTCTTTACACGCAATAAATAGCCATAGAAATGTATCACATTCTACCCTGAGAGATATTATCTTCGTTGTTAAAATTAAATGCGTCTGATTAGTAAAAGTGAAAATGTTGCTAAAACAGTAGTAACTAAGGTTGTATAATTTACCTTAAAGTACAGAAGATTTCTCTTCATGCGAGTAGTGGGGAATAAGACGACACCTGGTGTGTGGACCTCAACAGTGTTCTTGTTGACCAGTATAGCCGTGTAGTAGATAGCCTAAATGATAAATGTTGACCATTACAGTAGTGTAGCAGCTAGCCTAAATGATAATAGTATGGTCAGTCTAAAGGATAAATGTTGACCAGTATAGCAGTGTGGTAACTAGCCAAAATGATAATTTAGTTTTTAAACTATTTTAAACTAAGGGGAGGTAATAAGTTCCGCTTGATCTTTTCATTGTCGTTTATAAACAGTCGTCACTGACGGCTGCTTTCACTGGAGAGGGGTGGGGGAGAAAGGGAGGTTGAGGATACTAGTCATTCACTAAATGCGTGTCGGCTCGTGATAAGTATTGACCAGTATAGTAGTGTAGTAGCTGGCGTTAAAGGTGAATGTTGATCAGAATAGCTGGAAAATGGATAGCTTAAAAGGTGAAAGTTGATCATCATCATCAACATTTCCCAAGACACTAGTTTATCTGCTTCAGATGACCTCGGCAGGGATGGTGTGGTTTGTTTGTTTCTCTAACGTAAGTTAGGTACCCAGAGCTGGGTGGACTCAGATTTGAACCAGGATTCGAACTCGAGACGAGCATTCAAGCTCTCTACCGCTAGTCCCTAATAGGTAAATGTTGACCAATATGGCAGTATAGTGGCCAACGTAAGGATAGGTGTGGAAGAGTGGCGCCAGCAAGTAATAGATCTCATTTACCTAAACTCTGGATTGGAGAAATATAGGTAAGGATTTTGTGGGTTTTTTTGCAATGGCGTCACTAATTCGGGTGTTATCTGGTATGGCGTTTCAAACTAAGATCTCTCCCCCTTACGTCCTCAACAATTTCGCTTTACATTTTCGTTTGGTGGCACTTTTCTCCCTCTACTATTGTAACATTGAACTTGGTAAGAAATAATTATGACAGAAAGTTTGGCGGGTTTTCTTTTTATATTTAGTGTCAATACAAGAAAGTCCCCCCCCCCCCCCCCTTTGACACAACAGGTTTTGTGTTTGAAGTTTTGAAGTACAACACCAAATTGTTTTATACAGAAACTCTATTCACTAAGTAATTATAGCAATACAAAATATAGTAGCTTACTTAAAATAACATAAAAATATTGCCATTTTAATGTATATAATAATGACTTACCGCAATTTATATGAGAGGAAAAACCCCACTTACATTTATTTAAAAAAAACATACTTACATTTATACATAACAACCATACCATTCTTACATTTACGCACAAAACCATACCATTCTTTCACTAACACAAAGATCACACAATACTTACAGTTATACCAATGTGTTCTCCACTGCCCACAATTATTTCATAATTGGTCATTTCTCTCCTTAGGATGTCCAGGCTGTAATCGACCACCTCTTGCAGTAAGATCACATCCGGGTTTTGTCTAAACAGAAATATTATCTGTCATCTTCACCAGTTGCAATGTCTGGAAAGCATACAATTGATCAGTCGAGTAGATAGATGTAGTTGTTCTCACCGTAACAGTATTTGACATGCGCCTTCAGTTCTTAGGGTCAGATCGTCGTCATACTCATCATCAGAGTCATCAGAGTCATCTTCATCCTCCTCATCCTCATCCTCATCATCGTCGTCATCGTCGTCATCATCTTCGTCATCTTCGTCATCATTGTCACCAACCCCAAGAAATTGAGCCATAAACGGTTGCGGCGGATCTGAGATAAGGCCTGCTATATTCCATGATACAATTGTTATCTTCTCTGTGGGACTGTAAAGAAAAAAAATCCCAAATACATGAGTAATGAAACATTTGCAGACAAAAAATGTTTTTGTTTAAGATTTTCCTACGCAAAATACAGTAAAAACAGATTATAAACCAATGTCCGTTTTTACACAATGTCCTAAGTCACCATTCAGCTAAGTTTCAGAACCAAGTTATATAAGTGAGAGAAAAGAAAACATTCTAATACTAGATTAAATTTTAATTAGCCATTTAAGGTGGTGAAGGGTTTTCTGGGGGCGCCAACTTGAAGACTAAACCAAACAAAAATATTCACTGTAATGCCAATTGTAAAAAAAAAATAATTTTAAGTTCCTATATTTAAACAAAACAAACTGTCCGAGTGTAATCTAGAAACGCTTTTATGTAACAGTTCGTTAAAATTTCATTTAAAAACCTGTAACAATTGGAGAAAAGCTCATCAGACCCTATATGGTGAAGATGGTAAAATTTAATTCTTAAGGTTTCAAATGAAGTATGATGCAACGAATGTGTCTGTCTAATAATACTATTCAGTTGAATACTTCATGCGTGTACGTAGATGTTAAAGTACAGATTTTGGATTACAAGCTTGCAACAACGTTTACTTTTCAAGTTCATAAATCCACATACAATTTCGTGTTCTCAGTGTGCTTGTCTATATAAAATATTTATATTCTACATAAATATTTATAATCAGATAATATTAAAGGATTATAATCACGGGGGCCTTCTACGCTAGTAATTGAGAAGAAATGTTGTAAATCATGTCTTTGCACTGAAAGATATAAATTGTTTTTTTTCCAGGAAGTGAAAGATAACAAGACCTTTGGTATAGTTTAACGACTAAGCGTGGTGAGAGAGATAAGCAAACATTGCAGATATATTCGAACAGAAAAAAATTGGCTAAATCTGAAACTTCAGGTAAAGGAAACGAATATTATCGTGTTTCGCGGAAATCTCGAGGCATTTTTATCCAAGCTGCAAGACCGGTGAAGAAAAAAAATAATTCTTGGAAACATTACAAGTTCCAGAAACTCTGCAGTGTGCTGGACGAATCTGAATGTAAAATAAATAAAAGAAAGGATTTCTGGGCATCTCGAATCTCTTAAAAACAAACTTCGGAGTTACTACCCTGGGCTGAAAGAAGAAGAAACCGCATTGACAAGTAGTCCGATCTCTGCTTCTCTTGATCAGAGTTTCTTGTTTCTTCCAGGCATCTCTAGGGGGCCGTAGACTTCTTTCGGCTTTTCTCCCCCCCCCCGAACGAAATGTAATTTTTATAGAACATATTACTATGTCCGCCCTGGAAAATTTAGACCCCCCCCCCTCCCACCCCGAAAATATCAAGTGCATCCCCGACCCGGGAGAAAAAAGTCTGAAAGAAAAACTGCTCTTGATGTTACAAGAATTCCCGAAGAAAAGTTTAAGAATCTGTTTTCTAGATCTTATTTCTATAACTGCCAGCAGGTAAGAGTAAGACACCACCTTGTGATAGCAAGAATGTTTAAATTATTCACAAACCTACCCGTTGGCCTGGGCTGATGCCGCAAGGTTATTGTTACTACCGGTATGAAACGACGGTCTAGATTCGACTTCCTGTTGACTGCTGGAATCATTAAGTCTAGATGGGTCTTCCCGATGATCTCTGGAATCAAAAGACGGTCTAGATTGGCCGTCCTGTTGACCTCTGGGACCAATCGATGACCTTGAATGGCCATTTTGTAAATCTCTGGATCCAAAAGACCGCCAAGAATGGCCATCCCGTTGACCTCTGAAACCACCGGTTGACCTAGATTGGCTATCTTGTCGACCTCTGTATTCAGATGACGGCCATGATTGGCCATCCTGTCGACCTCTGTATTCAGATGACCGCCATGATTGGCCATCCTGTTGACCTCTGTATTCAGATGACCGCCATGATTGGCCATCCTGTTGACCTCTGTATTCAGATGACCGCCATGATTGGCCATCCTGTTGACCTCTGTATTCAGATGACCGCCATGATTGGCCATCCTGTTGACCTCTGTATTCAGATGACCGCCATGATTGGCCATCCTGTTGACCTCTGTATTCAGATGACCGCCATGATTGGCCATCCTGTTGACCTCTGTATTCAGATGACCGCCATGATTGGCCATCTTGTTGACCTCTGTATTCAGATGACTGCCATGATCGACCTCTGGAGCCATAGGGTGACCGAGATTGGCCATCCTGTTGACCTCTGGGGCCATAGGACCACCTAGATTGGACATCCTGCTGACCTCTGGAAAAATAGGACGACCTAGATTGGCCATCCTGTTGACCTCTGGAAAAATAGGACGACCTAGATTGGCCATCCTGTTGACCTATGTAATCAACGGACGACCTGGATTGGCCATCCTGTTGACCTCTAGATCCAAAAGACGACCCAGATAGACCACTGGAAACAAAAGAACAAATAAGTTAATTGTTTGGTTGATTTTGTTTTATGCACATTTTTACTTTACACGTTTCTTTATTAAATAACTTTAAAAAAATCAAATAACAAATTTATAAAACAACTTTTTATATCAGATAAAATATATACAATGTAATTACACCATGAAATGCTCTCTAAAATATATCGTCAAAACAACATTCGTTGAATTGAAATCAAACGAAGAGACAATATTCTAGTTTAAAAGACGTCGCTCCCCTCCTAGCCTCCCGTCTAATGGTTGTGAATGTTCACTACAAAACATGTCATCCTAATATATAAAAGTCCATGTGCACACTTCTCTCTCTCTCTCTCTGTCTCTCTCTCTCTCTCTCTCTGTCCGCAAAATATTTTCGCAGGATATCACAGCAGAATCTGCAGCGATATATAGAGAACTCGATACGGACTTTGGTTGAAAAGGGTCTACGACAAATTCCCGAAAGACACTTGCCCGAATGCCGTTTGCCCGAAGGCCGATTTCCCGAATGGACACTTGCCCGAATGCGACAAATGCCCGAACGGACACTTGCCCGAATGCAACAAATGCCCGAATGGACACTTGCCCGAATGGGACAAATGCCCGAATGCCACTTGCAAGTGTCCATTCGGGACATTGCGTTTTGACCCATAACTATTTCATAAATTATTTTTCTCAAACAAGTACATTTTAAAATATATAGGCCCATAATTCACGTGAAACGGGTACCGATGGCTAGTTTACTATAGACGCTTAACATCAGCAAAAATGATACTTTGTAATTAGAATTGAAACGAAACCGCCTTTGTTCAATGTTGAAAGACGCCAATAGTCAATTTACAATTTTAAAAAGTTTAATATTTCACGTATTAATCCATAATAATAATCATACACACAGCAGATACACCTCACAATGGCATACGCGCGCACACACACACACACACACACACACACACACACACAATATCATGCAATATTATGCAAACACACATGCACACACACCTACCCCTCTGCCTGGGTTGATCTCATGACTTCTTGTTGGTCTCCCGTGACGTCAGAGGGTTCCATTTCCACCTTTTGCGAATCTCAGAAAATCTTCCTTTTTTATGTGGTCCAAACTTGAAACAAACATTTTATTTTGGTATTATGTGTAGGCTTTTATAAGAAGTTTTTTTGTAAAAGTGTATATTATATAGTACATCCCAGTTTAAAGTTTTCAATGGAACCTACCAGAGGCGTCGAAAGGGGGCGGGGGGTGCGGATCACACCAGGGGACACCATTTAGGAGGGTGGTACCAAGTCAAAAAAAAACTAAACATATATAGAAGAAATTGTTTTTTGCTAGTTCAATTGATAGTTAATTAGGTTAGAATAACTTTAAGTACAGGTACACACTTTTGCATCAAGCTGTAGGGTATTTTATAGATATTCCAACACCCTTCTCCGACCTTGCTGAGTCATTAAGTATGTAATGTCCCACGCCTTACGCTTCAAATGAGCAATGGATTACCCACAACAAAATAAATAAACTCACAAATTAATCCCTTTGGTTACATTTATATTATCACTAATTTAAACTGCATCAATAGTGTCAGGATAAAAGCATCGCTGTTTAATGAGCCCCCTCCTCTTTTCCCCCTAATTTCAGGTTATATAGTCATTGTATGTACAATTGATTGCAAATTTTGATTTTAAAATTTTCAAAACACTGGACAGAACAATTCTTATCGTTTTATTAAACATTGACTTCGTCAGCACCGTTATCAAAATTAGGTCAAGGTTGCTTAGCTTTTAATGTTGTTTAACACACACGCACACACACAACCATACACACACACACACACACACACATATATATATATATATATATATATATATATATATATATATATATATATATATATATATATATATATATATATTATATATATACATACATATATATATATATATATATATATATATATATATATATATATATATATATATATATATATATATATATATGAAAAATTGATGATAATGTGTAACGACAAGAGTGAATTATACATTGAATGTATGTAGAACGTCCACAACCAAAACTCCATATCCCCCTCCCCCCCCCCAAAAAAAATAACGTAAAATATAACCCGCCTTAATCTAAAAAAAAAAAAAAGCTACCTACCAAGCGTGTTGTTGCTTATTTGCTTATTTAAACATCACACTCTATATTTTCCTGACTAAAATTTTAGGTGTAATCCAGCTTTTATACTGTGACATCCACTACAAGTTTGTTTTAAAGTCCCACCACAGGTTGGTGTATCTCTAACGATCGTGTACTCAGTCCTATTTTTTTCTTCAAGTTGACGGTGGTGTCTGTTCCTTGAAGCTTATCGGTGAATTCTGTTGGCAATATG